GGAATAATCTATGAAAGTTAATGTTTGAAGGTAAAGACACACAAACATGTACATGGTCCATCCTTTATGAAAGATGTTTCTATGGCAAAGGCAAGGAAGTTCTGTGTTCAAATAATTACTTCTCTCCAGCTTCCTCTGTGTCCTTGAGCAATCTTCCTACAGCTTCAGGGTCTGTTGCTATTTTATACAGGTGTTATACTGATTATTTATTTTTTTAAAACACATGAATCAGATAACATATCAACGGGAACCATATGAATACCTACTATATACAGCTGCATCCCCTGAAATCTTTCTGTAGTATCTATTATGTTCATTTCTAGAAAAGTTTTTCCACATGTTCTTGTAATCCAGCAAAGGAAAGGGAACCTGTTAGTTGGAACCGAAGTGGAATAAAGGCTACCTTCTTACTTTCTACCAAAGACCAGTTTTAATACAATATGCAGAGCCAAAGAGAACTTTTTTGATGTTTGTTCGCTATTAAACTCTGATCAAGTACTCCTCAAAAGAAGTACATAATAGTATATACCATTTTGAAATAGGTATTGAAGGAATTTCTAGAAATTAAAGATAATGAAAAGCAATGGCAATCTGAATTAGTACTGATGATCTTTTTCTAAGACACTTGCACTACTGCAAAATTTAAACATTTTAATTCAGAATTTCTCCAGTAAAATCCAATCTACTGTGGAACAAAACCCTGTTATTGCATATATAACTAGGAAAGAGAAGCTATGAAAAGTAATAATGGAAACAAAACATTGTTACTAACACTTGTTGGGTAACACAGCACAGTGATATTTTAAATTACTTAATCAGATTTTCAGTATTAGTTTTTGTAAATGCTTTAGGATGTCCAGCCTTTATGGGTAACAATGAGTGAAAATCAGTTTTGGACAACCATTTCGACAGTTTTAAATTTCATTCATTGTTTTTACATATGCTGTCATCTCAACATCTGCAATTTTAACAAATTCTTGGAAAGTGTTTTGCTCTTGAATAGTTGCAGGTCTTACAGAGACGCACTTGAAAATGTTCCTTTTTGCATCATAGTTTCCCATGCACCTGTGCACTCGACCTCTAATTAGTCTTGGAAGCTCCCGGTCCTTCATCAAAAGCATAATAAAGAAATGAAAAAACTGTATCACCTTTCTAACATAAAAGTTTTCAAGATGTCCAGTTGTTAGATGTTAGTGGATTTCTGAAGACTACATCAAACGCAGAAGGAATTTACATCAGCTTTTTTGCTATAATTAACTCCTTAGAAGCTGAACTAAAAGTCCCACTTTTTTTTCTGAAACAATAGTCTGAGGATGCCTAAATAATGACTGGCTCTAGACCAGTTTGGGAACAATATGGGATAAGCAGCCAGCTTTCCTTTTACACAGTAATTTTCTGTTTTATCAGAACAATGTATTATTATCTTCATAAAAGAGATTATAGCTAGTAGTGGCTGTGTTATGTAGGGACACAGAATACTTACAATTTCATAAAATACACAAGGCAGACTCTCCTTCCCATCTCTCAAAAGGAAATTCTTTGCCCCATATGCCCCAGGTGTGACTGCAGAATCAAGTGTGCCTGTACCATCCAGCAAAAATAAATCATGATGTAAACATCAGAGGAGTACTAAGTATGACATACAAAAATACCATAACAACATTTACTACACAAATGCACTAAGACTTATCAAGTCAGCATCAGCTTTCTGTGAGAACTTGCACTGACAGCACTGGACGTTCCAATACAAATGATGGGCTTTACATAGTCTTTGAATAGTAAAATTGTATATAATATCTCTCTAAACTGAGTGACCAAATGTGGTTTTTATAACTGTCACTGTAAACAGGTTATTCCCTTGTTAAGCAGAGCACAACACAATTGTCTTTAAGCTTTATTGCTCTTCATATGCAAATCAACTTTAAATATTTGCAACCTTGTCAAAATAAGAGTTTTCTGAGATGCCATTACACTGTATATTCTTATTCATCTTGTTTTAAAGAGTTTAGTCATTTCTGTCTTTTGGTATGTTCATTTCTCAGCTGTCAAAGTGCAAAGTGAAACACACTAGAAGTCATCTATGTTTAGAAGTACTCCAGAATTTAGTCTATTCCCAGATTAACTGCATTAAAAATTACTGTAAAACTGTACCGCCCTACAGAAGGTTCCTTTTTAATAGGAAAATACATTGTAACACATACTAAAAACAAAGAAAGAAAAGAAAGCACACAGAAAGAGCTTAAATGTTGGAGGATGACTGTATTATTAATTTTGTACCTATTTTAGTCAACTTTGATAGCTGAATGGATCTCCCAGCAGGAAAATTAGATGGTGCTCATGCCAGTATTTTGTGTTTTTAAGTATTCCAGCTATTGTTCCTACAGTTAACAACATTTTCTCTTGGCTGCTGTCCTACCATTATTATCAAACACAATCTACCATGCTTACCTAAAACTTCAAATAACAGTGCAGCTTTATAAGCATTTTGACTCCAGTGCCTCATACTTTCAATGACTGCAGATATGATTCGCAAATAATTCTTTTTTTCCTTAAATTTTAATTGAGACGATGAAAATTCCTTTCAGAGGAAGATGAAAACTCAAGTTAGAGATACACTCTGACACAATTTAAAAAGGCACATAGACATTTATATATTAAGTTAAATATCCAATATTTACATTAAAATTAGGGTATTTGTTCAGACAATACAAACAACTCCCTGCCAATTTCTATGATCATGCTGAGCATTGTAGGTTACTACAATATGAAAATCTCATTTCTAAGTTTTCAGAAACTTAATGGTTTACTAAGGCCGCTAGGATTGATGAAAGCCTCATCTTTCCAAAATTTTCTTTTTCTTTACTCTTTTCTTCATTGTATCTTCCTATTAACTCTCTCTATAAGTTTACCTGACTTTTGTCTTCTGGAACACAATCAAATTGTTTTTCATTCATTTTATTTTGCTGAATATTGTGGTTAAATTTGTATGTCAGACTACAATCTTGCAGACTTCTTGAAACAGTGTTAGGTTTCACTGGCCATTGTCCTTTAGATGTAAATGTTTGGCTGGTTTCTGTTGTTTTGATATGCTGAGATGAATTATGGTTATCAGGGGTTTTTTTCTGCTGAACAGTTTTCAAAGTATTGGAAAGGCTCTCAAACTTTCGAATAATTCCACTATCAGATCTTGAAAGTGTTGTGTTACTTAAAGGAGTATACTCATTTCTGTTCCAAACTTTAGTACTGGGAGCCTTCTCTCCTGCCCTGCAGTACAACATAAGACATGGTTCAGTATCAAAACATCTATTCTGAATACTCAGCTACGTAATTACAGTATATAGAAGCAATCTATGTATTGTTGGTTTAGCTTTAAAAACATCTGTTAAATATTTAGACTCAAAGCACTCAAGTATACACTTAAATTTATCCATATACAGGGCAGTCATCACCCATGCTTACATCTAGCTGAATTCAATAGGCCTTAAAAGCACGCTTAATTATTGTCCTGTCCTGTAGAAGGGATCTTTCCTGACCTAAGATTCATGTCTTTTCCAGAACTCTAAAATAAAATAAGCAGTTTCGTCTGAGAGTGATATTTCCAAATTCTTCAACCACCATCACCGAAGAAATAAGTTTGCCACAAACTCTAGTGCTGACCTTATTATTTCTAATACCCTTCATTTTATAAAGGCAGCTCAGAAATTCCTTCCATCTCCATTCCATTTTGCCTTTGAAGTCACTTGCCTGAAACATTCACTCTCTTTTTCCCCATTGGAAAGGAACAGGAGGAAGGGAAGAGAGAAAAAGGGCAATTATAATATTGCTGGAAGTTTTTCTAACAGCTCTAGACATCTGAATCTGTAAGCTTTTCCTTGGTTTCTAAGAGCAGAGAGTTCACAATTATATTCATTTTTTTATTAAATGTGTTGATATAAAATTGCCTTAATGTACACTGATAGAAACTTGTTTGAGCCTATTGATAAATTTTGTTTGAAAGTGGACAAAACTTCAAGTAAAGGGAAATCTCAAAAAATTACATCTAAGACCAGAAAAATGGTTTTAATGGTAAGACTGAATTTTAGGCCTCATAATAAGGCTAGATATTAGGTCTAATTAATAGGCCTCATTATGTACACTGGAAAGATACTTCATTTCAGTGGGTTTTGGCTCATAAGCACAATGTAATTATTCAGGACTACAGTGGCGATACGGGAATTAAAAGGGTCTCTCTGAATGCTACAAGAATATGGAAAAATGTAAGATATATTTCAACATGAGAAAAATTTTGGTTAAGGAAGAATAATAAAAATTAAAGACTCCACCAACCTGCAGGCATACAAGTTTTTTCCAGCATTTGCTAAATCAGACTTCGATGCATTTGGTGGTTTCATAAGGGAAGGAGCCATCTGATGTTCTGTTCGGCTTTCAAAGATAAGTTTAAAGTATCAGTGACACAGTAGCAGCTTTATTGTAAGACAGACAGATGGATCATAGTTTGTGAAACAATTAGTATCCAAGTAAAAATCAATAAGCAACAAATAATCTGCTTTTACATACCCATTGGTTGCTGCTTTCTGTAGTTCAGCCACTTCTGGGTTTGCAGTTCCCCAGCCTAATTCTCAAAAGAGAAAGGATTGAATATGGATACAAACTGAAAAGAATGAAAGGTGAGTAGGTCTACTTAGGGCTCCTACTCTATCTGCTCAATGTTCCACAAACAGGGGACAGGAAGAAAAAAAAAAAAAAGGAATGTGATCCTTTGATATCTGTCATTTTAAGGCAACTTTTAAGAAGGTTGCTTCTCTAGACAATGGTTAAGTTACAGACATTAGACTTATTAGCACGAAGACTTTTACTTTATTATAAGTAAACTTTTCCACTTATAATAAGTAAAACATTGAAAAAGTACTAGAGGCAGAATTCTGCATCATTCCTCCCAGGCACAATTTGAAGAACAGAAGTTCTCTTCTGTATTACAGGAAAGGCACCTTATAAATGTTTCTTCTTGTAACACAGGACTTGAATGTTGATTGAAATCAACTGAAAACAAAAGGTCAGAGTTTCAAGAGACTCTATTTAAATGCCAGTGCTACTTCATTCTCTAACACACAAAGAGTCAAACTCCCTCTAGGCACGAAGTATAAAAAGCCCAATTGTATAGAGGAGAAAGAAATTTCCTGGAGGACATATTTACATAATGAACTTTTCAGAAATAAATATAAAGGATGCATATAGCTCTTGATAAAGACAATATCTAATTTAATAAAATACAATCATAAAGTTAAGGTTTATTTGGATTTAAAGCCATTAAAAAAATAAAATATATCTTATTTACCTAATAATGTGGAAGAAAAGTTGTAAGTACCAGTCCCAGAACTGGTACCTGGCTCATTTTTAAGGGGATTTGAAGTGAGGGGCTGCCTATTTCTTTTCTTCTGATTGAAGAGAGGTACAGGCAGACAACCTAAAATTAAGATTCAAATAATAATAATCTACCAACAGCAAAAGGATATACAATCTACATTTAAAATATGCAAATAAAATTTGTTAACAATTATTTTACAGCACCCATGGAAATTACATTTCATAAAGACATAACAGACCAGCCATTGCCTCACAGAATTTATATTCCCAGCTCTCTGTCCTGCAAATAATCCCATGAATTAAACATTTCCCTTAGTGACCAGTCACCTGACTCCATTCAAAATCTTGCCCTGTGCTGCAATAAAACAGACAACCCATACAAGCCCACTCAGGAAATGGCGGTCTAGGACTGAACACTGTATATCCTGTATGAATACCGTGCGTGTATGTGTATATATAAAAAAATAAAAGCATAATGAGGTATGAACTGTAAAACACAAAAGGATGGATGGTACCTGCTGTGCTGTGAGTTGAAGTGTCAGCTAGACTCCTTTTCATTTCTTTGCTGTATCTTCATAGGCAACACTGTATTGATTACTCCAGATTTGCTCTATGGAAGTTAGATAGCAGGCAATGTAAATTAATTCATTTTGTAAATATATACAAATTTTATGTGATTTTATGGCAGTTTCTCTTAACTCTGTCTATACACAGTTACACACATCACTTCAGACACAAGCCTACATGTGTGAGCAGTTGTACTGAATTTAGAAGATCCAGGGGTACACAAGCAACATGCAATTGCTCCTTGCAGACTAAGGGCCCAAATGATTACATTCTTGAAGTAATTATCTACTTTTTTTAAAGTGGTTTAAAAATACTGAATTCACTTCTGAATTTAAAAGCACATACACATTCTAATACAAGGATTTTTTTTTTTTAAATTCCTGAAAACAGACTAATAGAAAATGCATACTTATGCATTGCTGCCAAGTGTGATGGCAAGGCACATGGCTTTGAATAAAAAAAATTATTTAACTATTCTATGAAAAATAGTGTCACACTTCAAAAAATAAACTTCTTTTCTGTACTTTATGGTACAGACCTAAAACCTTTAGCCAATTTCCTAATATATAAAAATACTTTACACGTCAAAAAAACAGTATTATCAGTCAAATATTATGAACAGAAAAAGTCTATATTAGCATATCAGGTACAGGTAGTTCACCATATTTGCTTTCTGATTAATCTACTTCTATAGTAAATGTCTACATATTACCGCATACATTGAGGAAACTACACAGACTGTTGTGTAGCATTAGTTGCTATTCTATCAAAGTTAGTGACTGGTGCATATTGCTTTTGGTGGCATATGAATACTACTGCATACATGTGTGTATAAATAACAAGACATTAGCTCTGCATTTATTGTGATCTGGTAGTTAGCCATATGCAGCTATTAAACATGTTGCTAAGAATTAAGCACAAGTATCTACCACAGCTAGACTAATAGATCAATTTGCTCCTTACTTCTGCAAGATTACATATGACAACATGACAGCAGCTTCTAGTTCATTGCTGTTACACAGTTTAAACTGTATCACTAGCACTAGGAAGCCTGATGGCCATCTGTAAGTAGCATACTTGTAAAATAAAATTCCATAAATGATATTTTAGTTTATAAAGCCCAGTTTGGTATTACATAGGATTTTGGACAGCCCTGTTTTTCTTTCTGCCCTCTCTTGAAGGTAACTAACCAAAACCCTGAGCTAAAGCTGCAGAAAAAAAGAAAGCTAAGGGTGAAGAACAGGAGATACCAGGTTAAGCCTCCGCAGTACTTCACACAGCGGCACCAGTCACAGACTAAAGGCAACGCCTTGCTGCTGTTCGAGGAACAGGGCTGAGGTAAAGCCCGCCAAAAATAACGGACCAAACCGTCGCGCTCTCGCGCCCTGAGTGAGTGAGAAAAGGGCGGGAAGGGGCTGGCCGCGCCCTCCGTTATATGGCGCTCGCGCAGCGCCCGCTGGCGCTCGCGCAGATGCCGTTGGCTGCTTGAGGCGTCCGTGAAACGGCCTGTCCCGGCGGGGGAGGGCGCTGCGATGGGAGCGGCTGGCAGGAGCGGTAACCCGGCCCTCCGTGGGAGGCTTTAATTAGTTGTCTGCGTGCCCGTGGTAGTGGGCCGTGTCGTGTCACGGTCAGCAGTTAGAGAACCCGGGGACAGGAGCTGAATATCCACAAATGTGTGACCACAGACATGGGTATACAGCTGTCTGCATTCTTCATGCTGTTTTTCTCTTCAACCACTAGTCCGGGTTTCACACAGTGCTGTGCTCCACTGTGCAACGTCTGGCTGGTTCCTGTGTAAAACGTTAGCGCTCGGCAGGACTGGAGCCTGTCCTTTATTTGTCAGACTTTTTCTTCATCCTTGGCTTTGGCGAGCTACGTTGCACTTCTTATCTATACCTTTGTGGCTCTGATAACTTCATTTATGTTTTATTGTTGCGTGTGTTTTTCAGCTCGGGGCACATGTTCTAAGCTTTCAGATGCACTACCAGGTATTTGTATGTAGACCATAAAAACAATCTGAATTCTTAATAAAATAAATATGAGCCTACATAATTTTTCAAAGTGTAAGTACTGGCGAAGACAGGAATAAGGGCTTGGTCCTGGTGTTTAATTCAGAAGGGTGAAAGCTTTTCAAGTGTCTGCATTTATGCCACAAGTTCACGGGTGCTTGTAATGTCCTGGGAGACCAGGAGTTAAAAGCTGTTTGGAAGTTAATGTGCTCTAAGGGTATAAAAGAAGCCTCCGTGGCTTTAGTTCCTAAACTCATGTTTGGAAATGCACTGTATGTGTCCTAAGAAAGCTCTTCTTAGGAGCCAAACTTCTTGCATGTTAAATGAGGTAAGTGCACAAACAATCTCTGTTTTTTGTTCAGCGTTTTGCAAGGAGTTATAACCATTACAGTACCACCAGCAATAAAAGATAAATTATGTGTACTAGCACTGCATGTTTGCATTTTGCCATTCACTCTTCAAACTGCTGCGGTGTTTAAATTCAGCAAACCAAGATGCAGAGCGTGAGTCATTTTTTCAGGCAGTGTCTAAATAGCCATTTTGGCTCCATCGCTGAAGAGACTGGGGTCAAAGGACAGTACAGACTGTCCAGTGCTGTAAAATACAACCAACTTTACTGCTTTGTTTAATAAATTACTTACTATGATTCCGTATCTGACAGCTCCTAAGTACAGCAGTAATACAGTTGAGTGTTTAAGTAAACAGTCTCTTTGTATTAACTCACTGTAAGGTTCAGCAAATCTGCATGCATAAGCTGAAACATAGAGAGCAACTTTTGTAGGAAATACATTCCTGGCAGAACTTGTCTAGATAAGTCCTATGTTTAGCTTTCTTTTCATAAACGTACAGTCTATCAGCCTGGGTTATAAAGCCTCTCCCAGGTACTAGCCAAATATTCTTTCAGTCACTGGAATGTAATCTTAATAAAAAGGAATTGTTCAATAAACATTCTTTATTCCTTTGCAATGTAATTTTTTTATATTTATATAATGTGTTGGATACTAATTGCAAATACTTCTGTCATTTACAGCAGTAAAACTTATTTTCTATTAGTAAGACCTTTTATTCTAAATGTTTTGATCTTCATGATGGAAGTTATGGCTTAAGTTTCAGAACCTTATCCGAATGCTTTTGGAAATGGAAGATGTGAAGTTGTTGACTAAGTTTTTTTTGGGAGGAGAACACAACTATTGTCCCATTGTGGACTCTTGTCTGTTTCCTTTTTAATAAGAGAGTGCAGAAGTTAGAAGGGTCATCACTGGCAAAGTTATTTCAGTGTTTTCAGAGATCTGTGTTAGCAGATCTAGAAACAGAACTAGAGCCAGGAATACTAGGCAAGTCAGTCGTGGATAAATTGCACTTTAATTTCAGCTAGTGTTCCTTCTAATCACTGTTCTTCAGCTATTGTAACACAAGAAAGGTCATGCAAGCAACAACATGCTTTGAGGAACTCAGCTGTTCTTGGTTTTTTAGATGAAAGTACTTGATGTTTCAGCAGTATGTGTTGCTCGAGAGCCAAGATTCAGATTTTACTGTTTTTGCTCACTTTAAATCATTCTGCCCTTGTATACTGTAATGTTCATGTAACTTCAAACATACATGAGTATACTTGTTACAGCTAGTTTGCAATGCAAAAATGCCAGAGATACGTAAGTGCATTATTAAAGTATACATTAAAAAAATCTTTTCATACTGTCATTAGTACAAGATTTACGTATATATAATATATTAATAGAGATTGCCTGGAGAAGTTAACTTTTGAACTATGTAACAGTCCCATTAACAGACTTGGAGATATTACTAAATACGGTACAAGAAGGGGAGGGCTCCTCGGGAGGGAGGAGTGTCGGGTTAGCACCTCCCTGCCTTGCAACAGGAGTCTAAAACTATAAGAGAAATGTTAATTCGCTTTCATTCACATCTGACCTAAACAGGCTTAAAAGAATTTCCTATCAAAAAGAGTAAAAAGATTCGCCCCCCCCCGAGAAAGAAGTTTTACTTACAATTATTTTCTGTTTTGCTTTCAGCAATTCTTAGAGCTGCTGAAAAGCATGACTTCCTCTTCTGTTGTTGATAAACCTCCGGTAAGACGTGTTGCTATCTTTGGAGGAACTCATGGCAATGAGTTATCAGGGGTATTTTTGGTCAAGCACTGGCAAGAGAATGGAGCTGAGATTCAAAGAACTGGAATGGAAGTAAAACCATTTCTTACCAACCCAAGAGCTGTGAAGAAGTGTACTAGATACATTGACTGTGATCTGAACCGTGTTTTTGACCCTGATAATCTTGGGTAAGAGTAGTTGTACTTTCTGTTGTTTTACTTTTCTGTTTTGTTGTGGTTTTGTTTTTGTTTTTTAAATTGTAAGGAGCTTCCTTTCCAGATTAAAACATTAACACAAGTTCCACTACTGTTTTAACTGTGCAGTCACATAACTGAAATTACTGAACTTTAACCCAAAAAGAACAAATTGCGTGAGTGTTAACAGATTAATTTTAAAACTATTGCAGTAGAATGAGTCTCAAACCAACACAAAATCTTAAATGCAGCATTTTAAATTAGTATTACATTAGCTGTATTTGCGTAAACTTAAGTATTGCTGTTCTGAGTTGCAAAGTCATTTCTCACGTGTCTTCTTGTGCAATTCAGCTGTGGAGCTCTTCTGAATACAGTTATACTTGCTGGAAGATAGCAGATAAAAGCAAGTTAAAGGTAGACATCTGAGTATCTGAAAGAATGGCATACAAATCAGGGAAGTGTATTTAATTTCAATTATGTACAATAAAAGATGAAAATGTGAAATTAGCAAAGTTAGAAATAATGTATTGTATGGAAAAATGATAGCCAAAAAGTCTCATTGTTTTAGAAGAAATACAATCTATAATTACTGTAAAGTAATAATTGATTTTACATTTTAAGTAGGATTTTTTGTTTCTCTGCTTTTGAGACATCTAGTCCAGAGGTATTTAGTTGCATGCTAAACAGGTAATTATGTTTCAGAAAGGTCTTAATGGTAAATAAAGCTGAATATCACTGAAAGAAATAGGTATCACATATATTTTGTAAGCATGGTTATTCCTATGCTGCACGTCTTTTCATCTGGCTTTTCATCTTAGAATTTTGTGGTTGATTATTATAAAAAGATAAACAGACTTTTTAACACATGACTGTTGAGACCATTCTTTTTAATTGCTTACTTAGGACAAACGTATGAAAATAAAGTGGTTTTCTTTGTTTTCAACCGCTTTGAACATAGAACACTTGAAAAAATAGCAGATTAAGACACCTGCACTCCTCAGCAAATCCTATTAAGTTGCCTAGTTCTGTTACAACACTACAACACTACTGACTGTTTGGAATACATTGATCCCTTTAAGTGTAGACCATTCAAGATTACAAATGATTTTACAAAATAAGAAAAAGGAGAGTGAAATCCTGATACTACTGAAAGTAATGGTGGAAGTCCCGTTGGCTTCAATAAGAAGTATTAATTTAACAGTCTTATGTGAAGAAACCTTGAATTTCAGAGAAGAACTAAAGAATACAAAGGTAGATTATGTGATATACAGAATCATAAAAATTGAAAAAGGAGCTTGAGGGGCTCATGTAAAAATTCTAATCCACATTATGTCCCACCAGTAGATCAACTGCATGTAGACATTCCTAATAGATTATGTCTTGCCATTTCTAATACTCCAGTGGTGATCCCTCAGCAACCTCTTCTGATGCTTAAATACCCATGCAGCTAGTAAGGTGTTTTGTTAGTATTTAACAAAACTTGTCTGCAACTTAATACAAGTATTTCTTAAAACATTTCAAATATTAAAAATCTTGAGCTTATTGAGAAAGAAAACTGAATTTAGTGCGAAAGATACTAGGTGCGTCTACATTGTACTTGGGTAGGCATCAAAACCAGATTTGCTGTCTATGTGGAACAAGTCTGAACCTACAGCAGCTTTCTACAGTGTTAATATGTAAGATAGATGTCTTTGTGTCATACATCAGTTCCCTACAGAGCCCTTATACAGAGAGGAAGCCGATCTCGGACCTTTCCTTAGGCTAAGACCATTTTTTTAAAGTATAGTACAGACTTAGATTTCTCAGACAACACTGAGATTACAAGTGTTAAAACTCTGGAGGAGTAGATTTGAGGTAGCAAAATCTTCTGTAAGCTTTGAGGGTCAGGAGGACTTACAATAATGGACTGTAAAAGTCTGATCAGAATATGAGAAAACAAGAAATAAAACACGTTACAAAAGACCTTGTGACTGATGTCCAAGGTAAAAGGGCATGGACTGATATCTGAATGCTGTCTTCAGTAGGAGGTGGATCCAATCTTGGAAGTGGTTTAAGTTGTTGATAAATTTTTAGTTAATTTTCTGCATAGGGGGGGATTTTGGCATGTAAAGAAATAAGAGAGAAGTAAATAGTCTCCAGCTAAACTGAGATCGAAAAATTCTTACTACCTTTCTGCACAAGATACATAATAGTACGACCCGTTTAATAATCATACTTGCTTTTTTCAACCACGAATTCATCGTTTCAACAGTTTGGTAATTAAATAGATTATTTCAACTCCAGTCAATTATGTAAAATAAAAAGAAAAGGGTATACATATTTTGTTGACTGTAAAGCCACGGAATGAGTTTACTAATTTCTTTGTACTGATATTAACAGCAGGACAGTGGTGGAAGATATTCCATATGAAGTGAGAAGGGCTCAGGAAATCAATCATATATTTGGGCCAAAAGGTAGTGATGATGCGTATGACCTTATTTTTGACCTTCACAACACCACTTCTAACATGGGTGGTACCCTTATTCTTGAAAACTCCAGGGATGACTTTACAATTCAAATGTTTCATTATATCAAGGTAAAACTAATTTAAGTGAACTCTTAAAATAGATTATTAGTTGTAATGTTGTATTACTATATATTATTTTGTAGTTTCTTTAAATATGCTATTTTTTTATTCTGCAAAACTGTTTAAAATATTTAATCACTTATAGGATGGGCTTTTTTAATCAGATATAATTAATAATTTGATTATAATATCAGATAATTCAGATTTGAACTCATCATAATCTTAATGTATTAAAATGAGTGTTAGTAAGACTGATGGGCAAAGAGGAATGCTTAGAATAATATCTGTGAAAATGAATGTAATTTAATCTGCTTTCACACTGATCTGTCAGGAATGTAGATAAATTTGGGTCACACATGCTAAATAGTTAAACATTAATTTTATGAAATAATGACATGGAAAAAATAATGGAACTGGGTAATGACAAATGTTCCCTTCATCAGTATTTATAGGAGTAGTGATATGTCTTTAGAAGCTGTTTGATTCTGCTGTTCCTGAAGCTGATAAGTATTGGTAGAGTGAGGTTTGCGAAAGTGTTGGCTTAAGCGTAATCTGGTAGAAGTACCAGTGACCTAGACAATGACTGATGAATCGAGGTTATGCCAATGGTGTGGAATTCTAATTTTTTTTTTCCTTAGAAATAAGGTATATTTTAACATTGGATTTTTTTTTCTTATTACATGCATCCCATTAAATGTTTATAAAATACTTGAAGATACAGAAAGCTTATGACTAAAATTATATGAAGAGCAATGGTAGGCAGTCATCAGGAAAGAGGCCTGAAATAGGTTTCTATGTCAAAAAAAAGTTAACATAAGCCTTAATTCACAGTCTATGTCCCCATAAGAGAATATGTGTCTAACTCAAAAAATACTTGACATCTGCTTTACGGTATTTTGATTCTAAATTTTGAAACACTGATGAGTAGATTTTTCTTCCTGTTAGCAATTTAAGACTAGAACTGTGTTCAGTTATATTAGGAGACTGCAGAGTTCAGTGGAGCATGCCTGGCAGGAGTTAATGGAAAGGACACCAACAAATACAGCTTTGTATGTTTTCTAAAGATGTCCTACTTCTTTGAGGGCCATGAAATAAAGGCAACATATTGAAGACATTGTGTAAATTACTTCTGCATCAGTAATCTTTTGTGGCACAACATTTTAAAATATTTGCATAACAAAGAAATCTTTAAACAATCTCCACAGAATGCTTTGGCTCCAGAACGATGTCCTGTTTTGCTGATTGAACATCCTAGCTTGAAATACGCAACAACTCGATCTGTAGCAAAACATCCTGTTGGTAAATATGAAAAAATAAAGACTATTTTAACCCACCATAAATTCTTTAAAAATATGCCTGTTTCCAGATCTGTTCATTTCATTATGTTATACAGAGTGCTTTGATCACCAGTAGCTATTTGTTTGTCGATGTATTTACCGAATCAAATGTATATGATTATCTCTTCTTCTGCAGAGTTCTGATTTATACTTGGCTTACAAAATACAGAAGCCAGATGGCAATTCTTAAACTCAGTTAACCCACTGTTTGCAAAAAATATTTATGAGCATAAGGAAGAAGTAACAGCTTCAGAAAATAAATGTTTACATCCTCTAAATAAGCCTTGTCTGAAATGCTGGTTGTTAGCCAAGAAGAGGAAAAGAGAAGATGTGATAAAGGAAGGGGGAAATGATGTTCTGCATGGAATTGGTTAACTTTTTCATTTATGGAACTATAACCATACAAAAAAAATCATCAGTTTGCTTTTCGTATATTAAACAATGAGTTCTCTAAAATGCAGCATGGAAAGATAGAATGAGGAAAAGAATAAGAGAAATGAATATATATAGTGACCCTTGCTCTTACCTGAGTACCACACTCCAAAATGTACATACAGTTCTTTAAAACTGACTGTTAAGCTAAAGTTTCTGCTTGCCTTAAAAATTATGTATCTCTACAATTCTGCTTAAACACAAACCACAGACCCAGTCAGACATCTATTTTTGCTGTGTAATCTAAGCATGTGATATCTTATGGCTGTATTAATAATCTCCCTCATCTGCAAACAGGCGTGGAGGTGGGTCCCCAGCCACAAGGTGTTGTTAGAGCTGATACTCTGGACAAAATGAGGAAGATTGTCAAACATGGCCTTGATTTTGTGCAACTTTTTAATGAAGGTAGAGTAAGTAATGAGAGGCTCCTGTGCCATGTCAGTGGACTATTTCAGGAAAGTTTTTTTTTTAAAAGTAGGATGGGCTACAACAGTTTACAGTTAAACAGGTAAAAGGGGGTGGGGGAGGATTGTTCTCTAGACCACCTAAGTGTGGCATCAGAAAGTCAGAATTCCTGTATAGCTCCTTTGGGTAGCTTTAAGGATATTTCCTCTTGCTGAAGATTCAATAAGTACACTTGATCGTAAGCTTACAGTTGCTTTGAGCATCTGAAATACTAACTAAAAATATTTGTATAGTAGTATTGTACATGGAGAACATACATAAATTAATACTAAGAAAATGTTTAATTTACATGCCTTCTGTGCATTGTTATCTAAAATGAAAGTCAATAAATTTTGTAAGATTGCTATACCTGTATACACTATAAATAACATACTGACCAAAAAATAGGTGTTTATAATTCTTTTAGGATGCATTTTGTCAGTGGGCTTATTTTGGAAGTAGAAGGAAAAGAACATAGTTTTGCATGTCAGAATCTCCATTATTGTGCTGGAATAGTAAAGATTAAATAGCTGATACCATTCTGTGTTGAGCAGCACTAACACACACAGGCTTTTCATTGATTTCTTCATCTACAAAATATATCTTTTTAAGTATACAGTGAAAAGTCACATTTCAGCGTCAAATTTAGACCTGGGCTTCATATACTACGGTACATGATGGGACAATCTTTCTGCAGCTTGCCTTCAAGGGGACAAAAAATCTGGAGCTAGACATTTTTATGTTATATGAGCTACTCACTAGTTTGTAAACTTTGAGGTACAACCTAATGATTTAAGACATTCTAAAGAGAATAACTAATGCATTGTTTTTTTTAACAGGCAGTTGTTCATTCTGACATTAAATTACATTTATTCTTTCTAGGAAAGGAATTTCCACCATGTACAATCGAGGTTTTTAAAATAATGGAGAAAGTAGATTATCCCAGGAATAAAAATGATGAAGTTATTGCTATTATTCACCCTAAACTGCAGGTAAATCCTAAAATAGTTTCCATTTGTGACATTTTGTGTTCCCTCTGCTACATTATAGTATATCTAAATAGTAAATATTTAAAACAACAATACTGCCAATGGGTTTATCGAATACGTTAGACCTTCCCTATAGTAAGTTCTGTCACTAATGTCATACAGTATTTTGTTAACTGACTTGGGAATCACTGTACCTAACATCACTTTTGAACCTAAAACTGAAAAGAAAAAGGCAATAGGATAGCTTATATTCTATAATATAAATTAATTTTGAATTCTACAGTGAGGGTCTGCTTTTAATCAATTGTAAGTATATGCAGTTTCCTTTTAGTCCACCTTTACCAGTGAATTCCATACGAGCCTGAAAATGAGGGCCAGAACCCTGAAAAGACATACTGAAGATTAAAAGGAATTATTTTAAAAGCTTTTGCCGTAGACTGGAAAGAATATAATTATTGAGCAGAAACTCAGAATCTATCACACAAAATATACAAAAACTTGAAAGTAAATATATTCTATTTATTTTCTTTCCCTCAGGATCAAGACTGGCAGCCACTGAACAATGGTGATCCTCTATTTTTAACTCTTGATGGAGAAGTAATTACATATAAAGGGGACTGTACAGTCTATCCAACATTTATTAATGAAGCTGCATATTATGAAAAGAAACAAGCTTTTGTAAAAACAGTAAAAATGACACTCACTGCAAAACACATTAGATCCTCAGTCTTAGACCAGAACACTTCTTAAAAGCTTATTACAGATTTTCAGTACAAAAAGTGGATTTCTTCTCTGCAAAATCCAGTCTTATTCAGTAGTAATTCATGGAATAAATAAATGCAGAATCTAATTTTAAACTGTTATTTAATTAACATTGCTGAGCACTTTTAAGATGAAACATACTGTCATAATGCTAATTATGATTGTTTACTTGTTCTAATACATTGTTATAGATGCAAAGAATAAATACTATTTTTATGAAGTTTGTTAGTTCACACTATATTAAATGATTAAACAATGTACCACATATGGGTTAGTGGCTATAAAACTTACATCCAGCATCATATCATCCACAAACCTACCCCAAACCAACACTTTTTAAAATGTGGTGATTGTTGAAACTAATTCCTCAGATAAACATGCAACATATGTGACAAAGGAAAATATAGGGAGAGAGAACCAGAGTGAGGGTATGTATATTAAAATTCTTTTGTATTATCTGCATTTGTGATTATCCCCTACTGCACTGAAGTGGAAGCCTTAGGATTTGTTTTGTTTTTCTTTTTATACTTATGAAGATATCAAATAAGCTAAAAACATGAGATTTCTGAGAAAAATACACTAAAATGACATGTAAAGCTTTTTAAATTTAAAGCATTACAGGATTAATTCAAGCTGTTTCTGATTTAACATTAATTTAAAGACAAAGAGTTTAAATTTAGAAACTATCTGGTAGTTGGAAACGTAGTGGATCAATATTCAAATTCAGGAAGAAGATGCGCTTATCCCATGGAAACTCCTGAAGAGAGTTTCTATTGCAATGGAAACAAGAGAAGTTTACAGCTTTGTAACTTTCTAGGTGAGTAACCTACTGCTTATAACATTTTCCAAATAAAATGTTAATGAACTGTTGTACCCCAAAAGTTTTCAGTGAAGAAGGCAAGATTAAGTAATTAGACAGGTTTTGATGAAAAGCAATGCACAAACCATACCTGAGTATTTCAGAATGGAAATTAAGAATAATTCCATATGGGGACACTTCTCAATTTTGAGACTCACTTGTTCTATATTTGTAGAGAGAAAACCTGTCACAGTAGCTGAAAAAGAAAATGGGGATTTAATTAATTTTCTCAAGTTGTTTTTAACATATTTGACAATAATTGGGGATAGAGAAAACATTAAGAACTTTGCATAAGGATTCTATTTACTGCAAGATTCATTGCCTAGCTAACCCTCAAATTATATTTATTGAAAAGTGATGTCTTCCTTATTTACTAAGCCAAAATCCTTTTTTCCTTGCTTTGTGTAACTCCTATGGCAGTAAAATAAAAACACGGGACCAAATGTTTATTGAATTACAAGTTTTATTTAATTTAAATAAACATTGTATAAAAAAAGTACAGAATTATCTGCTGTAGTCATTTTTCATAGTGTTCTCGATCAGAGCCTTGCGACAGGAGATAGTATGTGTGATCCGGAAGGGCTCTGTGACTACAAAAGGAGGGTATTTTCTTAGTGAAGAACTTTTAGAAACAACCCCCCAGCTTCTTCCTCAGTTTTATCATACAGTTTTGTACCTGGACATTGGCACAGCACACTCCTCATTTTTTTTATGCCTTCCCTGTTTTATGGCTACACCTACAGCGTGACCTCAGTACAGTGCAGTGTTTTCAGTGACAAGTCTGCCCATAGCAACACGGAGTACAGCACAGGCTAGTTTTTTCTGGTTCCTGAGTATATATGAAGAGGTATTTTTTTTGTACAAAAACTGGCACTCAAAATAATCCAAACAGAACTGCATAGTCCCAAGGCAATATTCTTTGTTGGCAGTTTCCATGCAAAATTAACCAGCAAAGATGAAAGATTCCAAGACCACAGGAATTTTTCGTCTCATACTCACATATCCTACTAATGCAGCCAAACAAGGCTCAGATATTACACTAGTCTATTGATAACGCATAAATGTCCTTCCCCTTAAATTCCTATGCCCTGTAAAAACACAACTGAACTGAAGATTTCAGTTTGATCCCATCCATCCAGGCCATACACGGTAGGAAGCACAGGATCTGGCATCTAAAGAAGGCTGGTTGGGCAGCGAGAACCACGTTCACCATCCCTGCAAATAGCTTTGCACTATCCTTTCCGCTGGAGAGTTCCCTCATGCTCTCTTCTGTGTTAAGAAAGTCTTTTGGATCATTTTGCCCACAGCAGGCTTAGCTGTAAGAATCCAACGCAATTCATATTATCATTCAAATGCAAAATCAGTGTACAACCTGAGTCTCTCCTAAATAGCACCTTTAAAACAGGTACCAAATTAATATCTATAATGAAAACCCGTGACACTGAAGACATATAATGTATTAATTGAAATTTAAAAGCACATAAAACAAATACTTCTTTTTATACATACACATATAAAATAGAAAACTAAAAATATAATTCATAGTACTAAGTCATCACAGGTAGTGTATAAAAAGTGCTACAGAAATGCATTACATAGTCCTCTGAATTAAAAAAAGTAGCTTTAAAAGTCTGCAATTGTATTGCATTTAACTTAATTTTGCTCATTTTGGGAAGAAATACTGACTTCTTATTTTCCTAAAGTGGTTGAATACAGAAATTAATTTACTTTTAAACCAGAACAACTTCCAATGTGATAACTTATTTTATGCAGCAAGATGGAACAGCATGGAAAAGCTGAGTAGGAAAATAAAGGCATCATGACTGGAACAAACTCAGAAATAGTCTCCATTTTGAATTATGTTTCTGTCCTATCATTTTATGGGAAGGCATATATGCACAGTAATAAATAAAAAACAGTAACACCACATTATACCCTAGGGATTACACACAGGAAAACAGGTAATACAAAAACTAATGAGACCTGAAAAGGCTTTCTCCAACTTGTGGGACCAAGCCACCAATAACACTGACAGTCAATACAAAAGCTTCAAATGTATCCAGAACATTGTTATTTCAAAATAACGTACTTCATTTAGTAGTGTTCAGAATTGAAATGCCTTTCTTTTTTCTCCACGACAAGAACATAACCTTTTTCAGTGTACAAAATATTTCTCATGAGCTAGAGATTCCAAAAGACAGAGGATTTGGATCACGATGATCTTAATTTTCCACAAAAGGAAGAAATATCTCACATTTGACCTTTTTTATCCAATAAAAAGTCTAGAGACAAGTTTGAGTATCCACACAAACTTGGACAGCTGTGGTTTTCAAGGGGCTCAAAATCGAACCACTGAAATAGTACATTTTATTTTAGCTTAGCTGCCCTGATTAAATGAGTTAAAAGTCATCAGACCATGTCACCAAAAGTTTGTGTTCCAGCTGGTTACAGCTGTCCAAATTATCAACAAAGCTTTCAGCATCCACTGCTGATGCTTTTAACCTTCAGAACGACCACATATCAAATACAGCACAACTAAACAGAAGTTTCAGGCAAATCATCCATTTCTTCAAACGTATTCAGGGTGTTTTTGCTATTAGTTCTTGAATTATCTTGAACTTTGCTTGGATCTGAAAAAAAATGCATTATAAACAAAACAGGATATGGTAGAAACTGTATATGCAGGATCAAATTTTTGCATGTCTATTTTTTGTTAAAAAAATCACGCATTTATTTAAACAGCAAGTTGTCAGTTTACTACCATATCTTACACAGAAATTCTTCTGTCTGCTCCTTTTCATTATTACTGAGATCGTTCCACTAAGCAACATAAATGCTAGTTGCCTCAAGAACGTGCTTCAGAACAAGTCTCCCAGATCCTTATATGCCCCTACCAAACTCTGACGCCTGCTGCTAGAAGGACATCTGACACCTCAGAGTTAGGTCATTTCTCTATTACACTTCCAACACTGTCAGCAGACGGGTATCTTGAATTTCCTGGTCAACATTCACGAGGGGCAGTTTGTCATCCGATATATATCGCAAAACATAAACATGAATGTTCTAGGGTTAAAAACAGCAGACTATAGTATTGTTGGGTAGAATCAGTCCGATTTCTTGACAGATTTTGCAATGCTATAGGTAACTGTCAGGACTAAGTGTACTTTATGTCAGCTTTTTCAAAATAACATTTTCTGTCCATTAAAAAGTTCTCTGGCCTTATACCATGCAGATACCATACATAACTGCTTAGAGAAAAATAAAAGATGAAACCACCATGTTTTGGTGCCAAGGTGTAAATAATTAGAGTTTGTAAGTTTGTAACCAATCCTCTCTCTAAATCTTTAAAAATAATATAACACCCCTACCATATGTTTCTCATACTATGAGTTTCCCTAGCAGTAAACTGTGATTGAATATCTAGAGCTCATATTTTTAAAGGTATAAAACTATATCAAAGCATTTCTAAGAAAAACAACACTATGTCACAAATACAGCGTTGTAAAATTCTGCAGTACCTGTTGGCCCTGGATCTTCATTAATAAATGAAACATGTGTTTTCCACTCGGTCCATTTCACTTCATTAATCCTGTTTACATTGCATATAAGTTGTGTTATTAGCATGCATTATCTCCCAGCTACATAGCTGCACTTCCCCTTTTACATCTTTATTCCTTCTTGGGATTGTCATTTACCCTCATAGGCTGAATGTCTTTTGCAGTGTTATGTACTATATGAAGATGACAATAATACCAAGAGTACTTTATAATTTCACACATTATGAGTACAGTCTTGAAACTCACCTTAAATATTTAAGTATTTTTCATAAAACAGCATAGTAATAGATTCTTTAATATTGTAATCATCAATTAGCCATCAATTTAAATATAATTACTTTTAAGCTAACATTCAAAGGAGATTATGACAGTGACATTTACTGCAAGCAGAACTGATACTTGTACATTAAAAACATATGAAGTTGAAAATCTGTTTTCTTACCAAAATATCATCTACATTGAAAAAACCCTATACATTTTCCCTTTTTTTAAACAATTGGTCACAACTGAAAAAAACAAATTGGATTTTTATATACCTAATATAATTTGTAGAGATGTAGAAATATTTTAAGGAGGCTTTTGAGGAGAAACAACCCTGAAGAAACATACAGAGCAGAACTGATAGCACAGTAGTCTAGCTTTGCTTT